AAGGAGGGGGCTTTGTAGAAAACGAAGCGTTTGAGAGAGGCGGGGCATAGAGGACCTACAATAATGTACAGTATTTGAAAAATAATGTGTTTTTTGAACATTAAAGCATGTCAACATATTCTGTTACACCAAATACACAAAATAATGATCTTTTAAAAAGCATCATATGACCCCTTTAAATGATTACATATGAATAACTACATGTAGTTAATTCCTTTGTCATATTTTGGTATCTCTGTGATAATTACTTGTGAATATTATTTATTTTTTCCCAATAAATTTCAACAGAGCTATAAAAAGAGCTCAAGTGACTAAAGAACCCAAACAAGAGGAAAAGCCAAAAAAAGGTATTTCAACATTTAAAAATGAAATTATAATGGAATTACAATGTTTTACACCCATGAATTTGTAAATCAATAATTTTTTATTTCAGGATTCTCAGATGAGAATAGTAAATGGCTAAAACCAGCGCAGGGGAAGCGAAAGATTGAACAATCTGAAGAAGATGAGGACAGTGACAGCCAATGGGAAGAAGATGATGATGAAGAGGGCTTTGATAACAAGGAAATGGAGGAGGAGGGGGAGGATGATGATGAAGATATGGTTGATGACTATGGTGCTGATGAAGGGGATGAACAAGACAGTGATGGAGAAGAGGTATGATTTCAACCAATGAAAAACATTTGTATAGAGGAAATCTTGACCTTTCTCAAATGTCAAAAGCATTTTTTTTCTCCTTAAAATACCCAGATGTCATACTACTAAAGCTTGGGGCACAAAAAACTACATTTCACAATGCAGTGTGCTTGACTTTCCATTTCTGTGTGAGATGAACTGGAAATATCAAAAGCAATTTTTAGCATCTCTGTCTTGGCCTGATGTTTATTGGTTACAAAATGGACTACAGGTGCATCTCAATAAATTAGAATGTCGTGGATAAGTTCATTTATTTCAGTAATTCAACTCAAATTGTGAAACTTGTGTATTAAATAAATTCAGTGCACACAGACTGAAGTAGTTTAAGTGTTTGGTTCTTTTAATTGTGATGATTTTGGCTCACATTTAACAAAAACCCACCAACTCACTATCTCAACAAATTAGAATACTCCATAAGACCAATAAAAAAAACATTTTTAGTGAATTGTTGGCCTTCTGGAAAGTATGTTAATTTACTGTACATGTAGGGGTAGGGGCTCCTTTAGCTTTAATTACTGCCTCAATTCGGCATGGCATGTGAGCCAAAATCATCACAATTAAAAGAACCAAAGACTTAAACTACTTCAGTCTGTGTGCATTGAGTTTATTTAATACACGAGTTTCACAATTTGAGTTGAATTACTGAAATAAATGAACTTTTCCACGACATTCTAATTTATTGAGATGCACCTGTATATGCACGGTTACTTCCTGGTTTTAGATAAGCCAGCTCAGTCATTTCCGGTCAACTGTCAAAATCAGCTGTGCTATCAGGTTCCGCAACTCATTGCTCTGATTGACAGTGATTACTGTAGCAATGGACGGATTATCTGACAAGAAGTCAAAATAGAGCTGTGCATTAAGAGATACAGACAAAATTCAGAGTAACAAAACTACAGCAGTAACACGTCTGTGTTGGCTGAATATATTTAGCAAATTTTAAAGATAAAACTTAAAAAATTTAGTTTTTAAATTAAATCTAAAAATATTTAAGGCATTATTTAATTGTTATAACCATTAATAATTAACTTATTTAATTTTTAGTTAAAGGGATTGTTCACCCAAAAATGAAAATTCTGTCATTAATTGCTCACCCTCATGTCGTTTCAAACCCGTAAGACCTTCGTTCATCTTCAGAACACAAATTAAGATATTTTTTATGAGATCTGAGAGCTTTCTGACCCTCCCATAGACAGCAATGCAACTGAAACGTTCAAGGCCCAGAAAGGTAGTAAGGGCATCATTAAAATAAAAATGGGAGGCACGCGAATGTCCGCTCAGAGCCTCCGCACACACTCTTCGATGACGATTTTTACGTCACGCGCACCATAGCGGACTCGCGCACACGGAAAGTATAACACAGGCTTTAGTTTTATCACTCTAAAAGCGCCTCCTGCTGGCAGAGAATCAGTTTGCATTTTCAATAAGCTCGTCTCCAGCAACATTTCCAGTTTTTTTGTTTTCTGCAGCGACTCTGAGCACTTTTCATACCCTTTTTTTTCGCTGGCTGAAGCACATTTGTTTCAATCTATAAGAATAATCAGCCTACAGGATTGTTTGATGAATAGAAAGATCCAAAGATCAGCATTTATCTGAAATAAAAAAACTTTTGTAACCTACACTATTCCATTCAAAAGCTTGGAGTCAGTATACTTTAAATTATTTTTTGGGAAAGAAATTATAGAAATTAATACTTTTATTTAGCAAGGATGCTTAAAAGTGGTGATAAAGACATTTATAATGTTACAAAAGATTTCTATTTCAGATAAATAATGTTTATATCGATATCGGAATTATATCGTATCGACCGAAATTAAGAAATATATTGTGATATAAATTTTGGCCATATCGTCCAGCCCTAGTTGTTAAATAACATAAAAACGAATGTTAAGGCCGCTATCATTATTTGCGGTGTTGCAATTATTTAGTTTCTCAGTTTCTGACAAGAACGAGGCAGGAGAGATTTCTGTGAGGGTCTCAAGAGTCTCTACCTATATATACACATCAACTGACACTTCACCGGAAGTTTATAAGCTTGGCTTATCTTTATGTGGAAGTTCTAAAGAACGCTTCGTGCAAATGGTCAATTGGATTTAAAATGGGAAATACATTTAGTTACGTCACAAAATAAACATGCAACAAAGTGAAGTTGGCAACATTGTAGAATACTACTACAATTTGAAATATGTCATTACATACTGTTATACTCTATAAACACTATTAAAAACAATCAGCGTAGTATTCTAAGCGTAGCCCTTTCCTTGTGATTTTATCATTACTTGCTGTCAGCTTCTGCCAATTGAGAGAGCTGCAAGAAAACAGAAAAAACAAACAAGCAAGAAACCAGAGAGTGATGACGACGATGAGGATGAAGAAGAGGAAGATGATGATGATGAAGAGGAAAAGGATGATTTAAAGGAAGATGAGGAGGAGGAAGAGGATACTGTACAGGCAAATATTGATGAAACTGAAAAATTCATACTCCCAGCTGCAGCGGATAGAGCGAAGGAGGGTGAGTCCAACTTTATTATGTCAGCAAACTACAGAAATTCACAGCTTCTAAGTTGTATTGGATCTAGAAGTGTATTTTAACCCTCCATCTCTCGTGTATATAGGTCTTTTACCCATGGACCTACAGACCATCCATCAGAGGATCAAAGATAATGTGGATGTGCTGTCTCACTTCAGTGAGAAGAGAGAAGAGGGTAAAGAGAGATCGGAGTATCTCTCTCTGCTGCGCTCTGACCTCTGCACCTACTACAGCTACAACGAGTTCCTCATCAGCAAACTCATGGACCTTTTCCCCGTCTCTGAGGTGTGTGTTAGTATCTGCTAATGAGGAGGAACTTAGCATGGCAGGTTTTATTACAGTTTAAATCGCTGAAGTATAGATGCTTCCTGTTTTAGTACCACCCATCTGCTTCCTCACAAGGTGTGTGGCTATGCTAACAGGATAGAGGAACTGTCTGTCAAGATCTGAAGGGGTGGATGCCCACACCCCCTCCACCTCTATATGAATTGGCAGTACATCTATATCGGAAAATAACTGTCTTTGTAAAACTTTGGAAATTGTTTTCTTCTCTGTTGATTGATGTACAGATATCATTTTCAATTTCAGCTGATTGATTTTCTTGAGGCCAATGAAATTCAGAGGCCAGTCACCATCAGAACCAACACCCTGAAAACCAGGAGGAGAGACTTGGCTCAGGTCTGAAAAGATTTATTTTCCTTTTAACCAAAACGTTGTGATATTTTTGTATTAGAGTCACATTTCCATCTGCTATGATTGGACGGTGCTAATTATGGGTTCCAAAACATGATCAATTATCACATCATCAGAGCTAGTTGCAAAATGCATATGACCACAGTGTTTTTGTAGAATAAATGCTAACATATCCTGATACATCCAAACAATGTCAAAAGGTCGGCTATCTGTCAATCATTCATTGTGCAAAATATTGTAGGTGATGTGTGGCTTTTAAAAGAAATAATCACCTGATTGAAAAAATTGTGAAGTTGTGTACATGCTCACGGCTTCTCGTGTGAGGCATGCAGATCTGAAGTTAAAATAACATTGATTAAAATGACAGCCTCTCACTCAATTTCTTGTTTGCTGTAAGACTAAATTTGGAAATATATTTGGAACTAACTGTGCATTTTCAGCAGTAGAAACAGTCACAAAGATGGGTTGCCATTATCAATAGTGTAACGATGTGCAAAGCACTGCTCACACAGAGGTCACTTCTAAGCCAAAAAGTTTTCTATTGGTCGATTTAGCAGAACTTGCATGTCAAAGTTCAATACACCTGAAGCCAATGTGAAATCTGTGTCAGGGTTTCTGTGGGTCTTGTCCTTCCACCTATTAAAATCTGAAAAAGGTCTTAAATCAGAGCACAAAATCTTAATTCATAAAATTATGGCATTAATTGCTGCATGCATTGCAAAAAAAAAAAAGTCCTTCACGGTGTTTTTGTCTTGTTTTCCAGTACAAATATCTAAACCGCCTTAAAGGGATAGTCCAAAAAATTGCACCCATCCATTTTAAAAGAAGTCCACACGGCTCCGGGGGGTTAATAGAGGCCTTCTGAAGCGACACGATGCGTTTGTGTAAGAAAAATATCCATATTTACAAGTTTATAAACCTTAATCTCTAGCTTCCGCTCGAAATGAAGCAGAAATAGTGACAGATATTTTCTTCTGTATTTTGATATAGGTCTGAGTGTAATGGATTATGGATGTATGTGAGTGAATGCAAGCTTGCAGTCGATTGTGGATGGGCGGGGTTTAAGTGGACTAAATATTTAAAGAAGTCTGCCATACGTCACTAGAGAAGTCTGTCATTTTCAACAGAAGATCGAGTTATTAGAATGTTTTGATTTGAAGATTACAAAGTCAATAAAAAATGCATAGATGAATAATTCATAATTATCTATAACATGCATTTGCAAAATAGCTTGGGCACATTTTCATTTTATGCCAACTTTAACAGTCATTGTGAATATTGTATACAAAACACTGGCACAAAATCTGAGACAAGTGGCCACAAGAGACACATCTGAGGCCTATTTTGATACCCTGCTTTAATACCAGGTGTCTCACCTGACCACTTGTGATTGGAACATCCCAAAGCAACACACATTAACACCGATGTCTCGTGTAATCTAATGGCTTGTTCTTTAACACAGGCTCTGATTAACAGAGGCGTGAACCTGGATCCATTGGGGAAATGGTCCAAAGTGGGGCTGGTTATCTATGACTCTTCTGTTCCCGTTGGTTAGTTCTAGTGTCATTTCAAAATAACATTTTTTTTTTATTCTCCATCCTTGACGACTGAAAGCATTGATGTTAGTTGTAATCCTCTCTTTTATATAGGAGCAACTCCAGAATATTTGTCAGGCCAGTACATGTTGCAAGGTGCATCATCGTTTCTGCCTGTAATGGCGCTTTCGCCCCAGGAGGGCGAGTCAGTGCTAGACATGAGCTCCGCTCCAGGAGGCAAGACCACTTATATGGGTGAGCATATGCTTCTCTGTGACAGTCACACCAACTGCTGTGTTATTTGAGCCTTTTTATTTTTTTATTGGCACAGTCGACACCAAAGAAGTCAAACATTTCTACAATGTTATATTAAAATGCTTTGAGAGTGTGTAAAGACAAAATGTGTATCATTTGTGTGATGCAGCTCAGCTAATGAGGAACACAGGCATGATTGTGGCTAATGACGCAAATGCAGACAGGCTGAAGAGCGTGGTGGGAAACATCCATCGTCTCGGTGTCACTAACGCTGTCATCTGCAACTATGACGATGGTTAGTTATGCGTGTCTAATCAGATGTTTTATTTTGAATGGTAGGTGATGGGAGGTTTTGATAGAGTGCTTTTAGATGCTCCTTGCTCGGGTACAGGAGTTATCTCCAAAGATCCAGGAGTAAAAACCGGCAAGGTAAAATTATTTTGTCTTTGTGGCATTTGATATTGAAGCTTTTAAAGACCAGCCTTTATTCTGAAGACTTTTTGTTTCTTTTATGTACATTCTCCATTGAAACTTAAAATATCTCTCTGTCTCTCAGGATGAGGCTGATATTCTTCGCTCGGCTCACCTGCAGAAAGAGCTCATCCTGTCTGCTATTGACTCGGTCAATGCTGATTCTCCAACTGGCGGATACCTTGTTTACTGCACATGCTCTATTATGGTTAGTAATACATAGTCCGTCACATTATTGCTATTATAGGTCGGCTGAAACGTAATTTGCTTTCGTTTGATACCCAGTATGCAGAACTGGTATTTAATAATGATTTTATTAATTATTTTTTGCTAATTGTTGTTCCAGTAAACCTTATAAGCTAAACTGTAGGTTTATATATTAAATATTAATTATATATATATATATAAAGATTAGGTTTGAAGACCTACACTACCGTTCGAAAGGATTGGTAGGATTTAAATGTAATGTTTTAAATTACTTAGAAAGTCACTTATTCTCATCAAGGCTGCATTCGAGTAAAAATGCAGTACTGTAATATTGTGAAATTATTACAATTTCAAATAATTTTCTATTTTAATCTTTTTTTAATGTTATTTTAAATGTAATTTATTCCTATGATGGCAACGCTGAATTTTCAGCAGCATCACTCCAGTCTTTAGTGTCACATGATCTTTCAGAAATCATTCTAATATGCTGATTTGGTGCTCAAGAAACATTTCTTATTATCAATGTTGAAAACAGTGCTGCTTTTGTGGAAAACATGAGCCATTTTTCAGGATTATTTGATGAATAGAAAGTTCAAAAAAACAGCATTTATTTGAAATCGAAATCTTTTGTAACATTATAAATGTATGTATTGTAAAAGTGTTTTCAAAGAAAACTCATTCTGACTGACTTCAAACATTTGAACAGTAGTGTATGTCCATGTTACTTTTCAAGGTTCTCCAAATGACGCAAAATGTTAATATCTTACATTTTATGAAAATATTTGTGTCTCAGAGGAGACTCCAAACCATTTAGGCTTGACGGGAACAAATGACCAATTCCTTAGAGGCCAGCGATCATAATACTTGAGATATTATACCCTGAACACGGCTTCTCACATGAGACATTTTTTGGCCTGGAAATAATGAATCCTTCAGGGGGAAAGTTGAAAGTGTTGGAAGTGTTAAAAAAAATATTTTACAGACCTTAGTTTTTAGGTCACCAACAACAAATACGCAACCTGTGAAATAAACCTGAGTTGGTGCAGCAAAAACCTTTTCTATTTCTGTCTGATTTGACATGGACTGATGCAGATATTGCATTTTAAACCAGTGTGCTGCAATGCAACATTTAGAGGAAAAGTGGAAGACATGGATGGAGAATAATTGTATGAATTGGTATCTGAAAACCCACTGAAATGTCTAGATGATTGCTATTTGATATCTCTAAAACATGCTAATTTTTTTAATGAATTTCTTATGAAGATTTGATTTGTCTTCTCCATAGGTAGAGGAGAATGAGTGGGTGGTGGACTATGCTTTAAAGAAGAGAAATGTAAAGCTGATCCCCACTGGACTAGACTTTGGCAAGGAGGGATTCATCAGGTAATGAGGCCTTATTTGAGATCCATGAGATCCAGAAATTGAGTTAATAAAATGAGTTTGCTAGAGAAAGCGTAAGAAATTATAACGTTCAATTAGAAAATATGACCTCCTCTCCACAGATTCAAAGAAAGACGTTTCCATCCATCTCTCAAACTGTCTTGCCGATTCTACCCTCACTCACACAACATGGATGGATTTTTTGTGGCCAAGCTAAAGAAGCTGTCTAACGCCATCCCCACCGCACCAAGAGAAACAGGTGTGTAATCATTTCCCATTTGTTTCCACGTCGTCTTTATTTTCTAATCTGATTTTAATCCTTCAAATTTATTCTTCAGAAGATGAAGTAGAATCTTCAAAAACGGAGACCGCAGCCTCGTCGGAGCAGATCCAAAAACTAGAATCTAAGCAACAGAAGCCTGCTTCAACTCCAGAGAAAAGCAACATGGGCAAGAAGCGGAAATTAAAACAGAAAAAATCTGAGACGCCCATCATCACGAAGAAAGCTGGAGTGAAATCTGAGAATAAAAAATCCGATGGTCCCAAAAAGGCCAAAATTGCAAAGTTGGATGGTGAAGCATCCAAAAAGAGTGAGAAACCTAACGAAAAGCAGAAGGTAAAGGAACTGAATGGAGATTCAACAAAAGAGGTAGTGATGGTGAAGAAAGAGGGGAGCCCGTTTGAGAAGAAGAAAAACAAAATGAAAAGGAAGAGCTTGTTGAAGAAGAAGAAAAACAGAATGGGGAAAAACAGGTTTAAGAAGTTAAAAAATATGGTTGGACAACAAAAAAGTGGACAGTGAAATTCAGTCTCGTGTCACAGTGTATTGACATGGACCTGTATGCTCAGGACTGGGATCTCTCATTGGCTCGACACAAGACAGGAAGTTAAACCAATCCCAGCCTGCTGTTAGGGACTTAAATATCATCCTTTAGCAACGTACACAATGGCTTTGTGTATCTATCTTGCTTCTCAAGACTTCTGTTATAAAATGTTATAAATATTTCAGTGTCCGTTTTTATGGATTTTGTTTTGAAAAAGAAACATTTATCTGAAATACTGCAAAGGGATGTGAGTATGTGATCTGTTTTCCTGTAAGATCGAGCTTATTTCTTACACCTATTAAAAAGAAAGATAAAAAAAAAGAGGTTTGGTGTCTGAAAAAGTGAAGTCTGAAACGTACTGAGGTGAAAACAAAAAGTACTTTAGTTATCGCCTTCCCTGGGAAGAGAGTGCCTGAAATGATATTTCACGGCTTGTCTTAACCTGACCTTTCCTTTTAGCCTTTCAGGAAGTCACCTCAGAAATCAGATCTAAAAACTATTGAGGTAGAAGTGAAATCTTCCTTTGAGCCTGAGTGCATCACGACTGCTATTCAACAGCACCTATTGACTCCACTTTTCACATCGCTTAGCTCCCGCCATAGAACATTTATCAGCGCGCAAAAAGTTTTCTTCGGGTTCAAATGGCTAAAACGCTCAGCAGATGAACTTCAGCTGTGTGCGATCTTTCTTCCCACCCTTCTGGCCTGGTGCCTGTGTAACCATGGAAACGTACTTATCGTACTGAATCGCGAAGCCCTGAGCTAGTACCCTCTGAACTGCGATGCTTTCTCTGTGCTTGCATGTCTCCACAAAAGATGGCCCAAAACTCCATAATTATTGCCGCTTGTTCTTCCCAAATCTGTTCTGTTGAAATGTAGCACATGTGTAGGCAAAGCGTTCATTTTAATCACATTGCAGTCATTACATGCTAGGAGATAATTTAAGGTTGTGCCTGAAGGGTAAATGAAGCCAGGCCTGTGGGTAAAGCGCTTTAGATCAGACTAGTTTGACACCCCACTGACTAAGTGGTATTGAAGAAGGGAAATTATAATGATCACCTGCACATATGATTGCAGGGGTAGAAGTGTCCAGTCTATATTTAATAACTACTTCCATTGTTTTGTACTGTACAGAAAAACAGTATGTGGTATGACAACATGCATTTCGAATGTAGTACATCCAGAATACATAATACAATATATGGAACAATGGTTGTGATGTACTCATTCAAAATAAATATCTACACTTAGGTATGCGATTTCAGAAGCAGCGATATTCATGAGGGTCTATGATAGGTCTCTTCTCTATGATATTTCCTGTTTTGTTTTTGAAAAGAGGGTCCATAGCATAGAAATGTGGGGCTTTTTTGACTTGGGCTAGTAAGCAACCACCAATCAACACCCTAGCATAGCAACATGCTCACAACAACTCAAACATGTGGATGTGGAAGTAAAAACAGCAGCAGAAAAACAATTTAGCACATGAAGCATACTTAACATGATTTCCATTGGCCTGGGGTGTTGCCTGTATGTAAATGTGCCATCCCACCCCCCCTTTAATTTATGTTCCGCTATGTTTGCTATGTTTTCATTGCCTCCGTCTCTCTGTAGTGCTTCTGAGCATGTTTGTGTCTTGTCGTGACTGCACAGTTTGACCGTATAGTTAATCCTCTCACAGCTGGGAAATGCGCCGGAGTCTTCATTATATCCTCCAGCTGCCTATATCAGGAATGACTGCAGAAACGTGTAGGCCTTCGCTGAAGTCTGTACCTGGGAGACGCAGCTGTCAAACCCAACTACATCTTACCACTCAAGTTTCAGCCAAAGAATAGTTCAACCAAAAATCAAACATTCTTTGCTTGGTATGATTTCAAAAGCTTTTATTTAATTGTATTTAATCATTTATGGCAGAATATTCAGGGCGGTCTTTAATGTGCATTTGCATTGTCCGCTGTTTTTGTATGTAAACATGCAGTATTAGACAGATAGGTTTTAAAAAAACGTCTCTAAAACGTCTCTAAAAAAACGACCCTGTTTGTTTTGTTTTGTTTTTCTTCATTGCACTAGCCTGGATCTTTTAACCCAAAAACACGTTCTGTGTAAATGGCCATTCATAAAGAGCATGTTTTTGCGTTCAACTGTGCTGCTTTTTATAGACTGAAAACTTAAAAAAAAAAAAAAACCTTCTATAGACCTTGAGTTTTCGTTCCACATCCCTGCATCTTGAATTTTTAAATGCAAAACCGTGAATGGCCCTGTAACACTTTTCTTGACAACATTTCAGCAGTCTGTCAGCTGTTTAGAAACCCAACAAGGATGACTCTTTTGAATCTTTGTTCTTGAAATTGCTCTTTTGAAATTGTTCTTTTTTCAATTATCAAAGTCAAATTATCAATTGAGTTTGAATTGAACAGAGTGGCTCCAGCATAAATGACTCACTCTCTCTGAATCTAAATGAGTTCGATTCGCCAAATGGCACAGAGACAAACATGTGCAGGTCAGGTAGCAACAGGTTAACTGCTAATTAACCGCTGATCTTTATTGGAGCTTGACAGTTCCCATTCACTTTTCATTGTATGGAACTGTGCAGCATCATTCTGTAAAACGTCTCCTTTTGTGCTCTAAATGAATAAAGAGAACCACACAAAATGAGGGCAAACGTTTAATCTTGGCATTTATTTAATGCAAAATGCCATGTTCCCACAATATGTTTGTTTGCTTCCTGCAGCCCTTAAAATATACAGCATAGCTTGTTGATCTGTTTTTGCTTAGTTTTGTCCTGTGCGCAGTGAAGGCCTGTCACAGCTGCGTCTGACAGAATCACTACCCATCTCAGGCCTTTACATCCTCTTTTTGTCTCTCTCTCTCTCTCAATCTCACTACAAACTTTCTGAACTCTAAAACCTTTATTTTGAAATGTAGTGCTCTTCTCAGGGTCTGTTGTCCTCTCACCCACCCACACGCCTACACAGACAAATCTGCCCACTCTTATTTCTCACCACACATGTGTGTACACACTCACACACACACACACACACACACTGCTAGATTCCCTGCCTACAGAACTACAGAAAACACACACTCACACACATACCACCTTCGCCTCTTTCTCTCACTCAGAGGTGACACGCTGGTGGGCTCTAGCCGTATCCTACCATACCCTAGTTTTTCATCCTTGTCTCATCCCTCTCTTTTCGCCCACCCGTCCTCCCACACACCTTCTCTCTCATTCTAGCGTTCTCTCTCTGTCTCGCTTTGGCTCTTTCTCTGTGTCTCTTGAGTGACAGTCAGAAAGGACTGTAGGGGCCAATTACTCTTCTGCTGTTTTGGTGAGTGTGTTATATAAAATAAGAGCACCTGCTGTCTGCAAGAAGCAGACATCTCTACTTCTGGGTGTGAGTCTGCAATCATGTCCTGCAACTTGAATAAACTTCTCAAATCATTCTGCATAGCTACTGTATAATAATGATGTGTATTAGTTTAGAATTTAAAGGGGTTATATAATAGCTGATGTTTTGAGATAAAATAATTCTAATTAACTCTTTCCCCGCCAGCGGTTTTTAAAACAAGTTGCCAGTCACTGCCAGCATCATCTTTTTCACGAAACTTTCATGGCCCCCAGAATATTTTGTTGTATGAATATCTGAACATGCAATATGTCAAAAGAAAGAACAGAGCCTCTGCTTGTAAACAAAACAAACCTAGCTTCATGTAAGTTTCATTAAACATTTACGACAAAAAGCTGGATCAGATTCAGAATGATGATCAAAACATAGATGGAGTAGATCGCTTCCATCAACACCCCCCAAGCTTGCACATTCCTATGCCACTTCCTGACTCGATGTTTCTTTCGGTAACGTTAGGCAGTTTTGATTTATACGCTGTTTATGATATCGTTATTTTACATATGCATCTGCTTACATGTGCGATCGATTGTTTCTCACTCATGTCGTTCCAAACCTGTCTTAGAGTTACATCCAAAAACCATGACTTTCTTTCTTCTGTGGAACATATAAGAAAATATTTTGAGTAAAACACAACGTCAGGGGTATGAACATTCATGAGAAGGGAATCATACTCATGCAAGGCTGTAGTAAAAAACTTTTTTTTATAGATGTAGCATTAAATCCATAAAGTCTGGGGTGAAAGTCTTGTATTAGGCTATTTCATGACTGCATTCTTGCATTGTCTATCTGTTTTGATGCATTTTGAGAGGATGGGCTTATTTTGTAGTCCTTGGCTTTGAAAACAGCCTCCATTAAAACATGACAATGCAAATCAACAACTCCAATGTGGTGTTCAGAAATTGGGTCACCTAGTTAAGGTGAACTGATAAGGAGGAAATAGGATCCGGGGCTCGTCATGCTTGTCATGTGACACACAGCAACCAGGTTTGATTTAATTTCTCCTTTTTTTTTTGAAATATTTCCAAATGTGTTAACCAGGCCTAGCCTACATCTCGATTCTCAAATATGTGTAAGTAGATTCATTTTGCACCTTTATTTATCATGTTAGTTGATCTATAATGGGCGATGGGCAAAGTATTCTAATGTTAGTGTAATCTATTAATTACGCATAAAACCCATCTTTTAACTTAAGTACCATGTGTGTCATGCCATAAAATATTTGTAATATGACTGGCTTTGTATTTAAAGTGAATTTAATAAAAACATTGTGAGTTACTAATTATAATAACACTTTCATTGTAGCCTACATAAAGAGAGCAAAGAACATTTACATTTTCAAAGAATATTATCATTGACTTCAGTCTAGTCAGAGTTCAAGCACTCTCAAAAACTCCCTAATGATCAATGAAGCTGTTTACACTGTGAAATAATCAAATGAATATCTTACATGTAAATACATGTAATGTAAGGTTGTGTTTGCGGAACGATGTATGTTATAATACATCGTGTACACTCACTAAACAAGTGAGAGTGGAGAGATTCGTCCTCACGCGAGCCTATCGCAAGACATCTGGTAGGGGGGGGGCACCTGGAGAGATTCGTCCTCGCGCGAGCCTATCGCAAGACATCTGGTAGGGGGGGCACCTGGG